AACGGGCGGGGCCAGCAGCCGGGTAGGGCGGGGCAGCACAGCGAAGGGAGTGGCCAGAGCTTCGAGCTGGGAGACGGACGCGCGGCGGGGGCGGGGCCTGAGCTGAGATGAAGGGTGATTGGTTGAACCTGGAAGGGGCGTGGTCCAGGGCGGAGCAGAGCCTTCTGGATTGGGCCCGAGAGCTCCAAATCATATGGAGGCGGGACCTGAGCCTGAGCCCCGTAGGAAGTGAATCGTGAAGCCGAGAAGCCAGGGCGTGTCAGAATTGATCCTTGGCGGGCAGATTAGTGATTGCAGTGCACCGAGGTAGGGTAGTTCGGGGGCGGGGCTCAGAACCCAGGCGCTACTAGTTCCACAGATTTGTAGGGCAACCCCTTTGCCCTACAAACCGTGAACTTTAAGAAATCTGATGGCCTTTACCCGGGCCTGGTGGTGCACTCCTGTAATCCCAGCACTGGAGAGGCCGAGGCAGGAGGATCTGCTAAAATTCAAGGCCAGCCTGAACTACATAGCAAGACCCTGTCTTAACAACAGCAAAAAACCAAATCTGATGGCCACTGCTCAGGCTTTGGACTTTGACGGTCTCCCTCAACTCCTACTCCACCTGATGCCATTCTGTCCACCCATGAGGCCCAGCTACCCTTTTCAAGAAATTACCCGCTGGGCTGGAAATGGAGCTCAGGCTTGGCCCCGGGTTCAATCCCCAGAACTGCAAAACAACAGCAACACCTGTCCAGACCCTACATGCAGCTATGGATCCATGGCGTTGACCTTGAAGTCAGTTCAGGTATGGCCACAGGCTCTATCCGTGACCTCAGACAGGGCCTCTTGCCCCAAGGTTTTGGGCCTCCATCTGTAAAATGTAAAGTACATAACCTGGTTTGTAGAGTTGTTTTGCATGGGAAAAATGATGCTCAGCATAAATGACAGCACAGAATTTTCGTGGATATCCTTGAAATTGTCACTGATAAAACTGCCAGCATGTTAAAAGTCCCAAAAATATGTGGTGTCTTTGAGCCGGCAGTTCAACTTTTAGTCCATACAGAACGGAAAAAATAAGAGATTGGTTAACTGATCTGCAGTCCACCCATAGGATGAAATGCCAAGAAGTCCTGAAGGGCTACATGGCAAAATATTTAACGTGGAAAGAGCACGATCCCATATTTGTCGTGGAAAAGTAGCAGAGTAATTGGTATGGTTAGTTTAAAGTTTTATTCCCTTGGAAATGTGCTGGCTGTAGCTCTGTCTTCTACGAATGCCAAATTCCTCCTATTGCCTACAAGGGGATGGTGAGGGCTAAGGAAAAAGAGACAATAGAACTGTGTAATTTAAAAGTCTATGAGGGACCTTGGGGGCAGTCAGTGCCTCAGAGTGGGCAAAGGCAAGGACTCTCTGAGCTTGCCACTATTTATTGGGTACACACAGTATTGGGGTGATTGAGGGGGCAGTGGGGGAATCCTATGTTGATGCAAATCTCATGCTGATAAGGGTGGTGAGGAAGGCATTCCCCAGACAGGAGGTGGGATGAGTTAAGCTGATAAGGAACTTGTCCCTCCCCAGGTGAAACCTTTCTCTGTGGGGTTCTCACGGAACCAGGATGTCTTCAGCCAATGTAATCTTGCATTTGAGTGCTTGAGGCTTCAACTGAGCCCGGAGGCAAAACAGAGTTATGTTTCCTTATGCCATAGCTGCCTCATGGGCAAGGCAACACTGGGCCTTAGACAGCTAGAGTCATACTTTAATTATGAAATGATTTTCCCCAAAAATTTACGTGGAAATCCAGGACTCCTCATTTTTCCTCCTATGCTGGCTGGAGCTGAAGGTTCACCTCTGCTCCTTTCTGGCCTCCAGGGTTTGCCCTTCAGTTGAAGGATGTGTAGGTGGCCATTTTGCTGCTTCCGCCATCCTTGTCCTGGCACCCATGATCCATTTTGTTAAGATGAAATAAAAATTATAGGAGGTCACTGTTTTGGGCTAAACGCCTGCTTTAGGCCTCAGTAGGCCAGGCTAAAGTCAAAATAGAGTCACTCATGCTAACGTCTCGTGTCACCAAGGTGAAATACCTCTTTATCTGACCTTCCAAATGTCAGGACTAGAGGGCTTGGCGAGGTGGCACGTGCCTATAATCGCAGGGCTCTGGAGGCTGAAGCAGGAGGATCACCATGAGTTTGAAGCCATTTTGAGGTACACAGTGAGTTTAAGTGAGACCTTGTCTCAAAAACAGCCGGGGATTTAGCTCAGTGGTTCGGTGGCCTGCCTTGCAAGCGCAAGGACCTGAGCTCAATCCCCGGTACCAAAAAAAGAAAAAAAAAAAACAAAAAAAAAACAGACAAAAACAGCTGGGATGTATCTCAGTGGTGCCACTGCCTAGCTTGCAAGCGCAAGGTCCGAGTTTGATCCCTGGTACAAAAAAATAAAAACAACCCCCACATCAGGATTAGAGAGAACGGCCACATTTCCCAAATAGGCCAGTTTTAATTGGCATCCATTTCAATTGGCATAAAGCTCCCTCTGCTTTATACCTTACTCAAAAACTTGGTATTAATCAACTGTTACGTTTCTATCGTTCAATCTCCCCACTTTACAAGGAAAATCTTTTCTTTTGCTTTCTTTTTTTCCCCCAGTACTGAGAAATTAAAGCCAGGGCCTTCCCACTGCACAACACCCCAAGCTATTACTTGTATAGTAAGTTCCCAATTAGCGACTGAGTTTTGTTCTGGGAGAACGTCAATTGGGTTCATTCCTAAGTCTGACAATGTGAGTCTCATACACCTGTGAAAGTTCACGACTCGAATGTTCGTAAGTCGGGGACTTGTTATATTTTTATTTTGTGACGGGGTCTTGCTGAATTGATAAATTACCCAGGGTGTCTTAAACTTGCAGTCTTCCTGCCTCAGCCTCCCAGCATGCTGGGGTTACAGGTATGTACCACCATGACCAGCTAAGGAGTGTGATTTTGAAGTAGCCTACCTGAATTGTGTTTGTTTCTGCTTTCTGCAGCCCATTTCCCTCTACCGAAAGAACCTCCTCTGCTCAGCACAGTGGAACAATTGTTTCTTTTTATGGAGTATTGCACAATTCCAGAAAAGAAAAACAAAGCCAGTCTGAGTTCTCAAACATAATTGTGATTTTGCCCTCTGATAGCAGTTGAAGTCATACACATACCTGAGTGTGCACACACCTAAGTTGTGTGTGGCACTGCCAGGCACGCCCCTTTTTGATGGCTGTTTCTGTCTAGGTAGCCTTGTTGTCCTGGGAGGAGTGGATCCAGGGTGAGATGCAGTTTGGTCCAGTCAGACTATAGCATATTGGATGGTCACCTTCCCTGCTGGCCTGTTTCATCTAGAAATGGAGATGTAACCTCCTCTGATCGGAGGGTGAAAGGTGAGGTAGTGATAACTGGTGCTCATTTCTCCCCTCCTGAGGGCCAGGCACCATACTGGACGCTTGACCCCAGGATTTCGTGCCCTCGTGTTGCAGCTCTGGGAAGGGTTCATTGTCCGCATTCCCTGAAGAAATCAGAGAGGGAGGTACATCGTGCTGCTTCGCAGAGCACTGGCGGTGGCAGAGGGCTGGCTGGGCTGAAACTAGGGCAACCCCAAAGGGGAGGGAGGTACCACTGCAGGTGCAGAATTTAGGAAAGTGTCCGAAGTTCAGTAAATAGCCAGGAGTGGTGACCCATGCCACCACTGCGGGTTCAAGGACAGCTTGGGCTACTTAGTGAGTTCAAAGACAGCCTGAATTACACAGTGAGACTCTGTCTTACCAAAAAAAAAAAAAAAAAAAAAAAATGCTGAGGCTTTAGCTCAGTATGGAAGCCCTGGTATTGAAAAAGTTCAGCAAATGCAATTTTTGGGAATATGAGAGATTGAACCCAGGGCTTCATGCATGCTAGGTAACTGCTGTGCTACATCCTTCATCCTCATCTGCCACGACCACGCCAGTAGAGTCTGCGTGACAATGCCGGTCACCTGGCAGAAACCAGACCAGAGGTATCGTCCCCACGGGGTTAAGCCTCCTGGAGGTCCTTGGCACACACCGCATGCAAAGTCAGCCGTGAAGAGAATAGCTGGCCTCTCTGCCTGCAGTTTGGGGACATTGGGTTCATCTATAATTCTGTTCTATTTTGTCTTTATTACTATTTGTTCATTATCTGCAGAATTGTATTCTGGGCCCAAGAAAGGTTAGGAACAATTAGATGTTCCTAGAGATGTGGAGATATTGAGGCACAAGAGGATGGGCGGCCAAAGTGCTGACCCTGAGCCCCGGACTGTGAAGTCCTGAAGGTGAACCTGAAGGTGACATGCTAAAGCCAGTCCTTTGTCTTACAAACTTCCCCTTCTGACTGCGTATAGGTGTGGTCTTACCTTGACCTTGTGGCCTTAGTTTTTACAGTACTATTGTCTATCTTTCTCATGCCTGCCTGTGACTGGAATCACTCTTGGGGTATGCCCTTGAAACTAGTATATAAACACCTGGAGTTAGAAATAAAATCGCAGCAGCATTGGCAAACTTCACCTCGGTGTTGAGTGCTTTTGTCTGACTGTCATCGCCGAACCTGCTCCCACCTTTCAGAGAACCTGTATCTCCTCGTGAAATCCCGTGTTTGCTGCCCTACGGTCTGTAGCACTCATCCCCTTTTTTGGGGAGAGTGGTTTGAAACAGGGTTTCACTGTGCATTGAGACTGACCTGCAACTCACTATGTAGCCCAGGCTGGTCTCGAACTCACAGCAATCCTCCTGCCTCAGCCTCCTGAGTGCTGGGATTACAGGCGTGTGCCACCATGCCCGGTGTGGCTGTTTTGTTTTCTTTTGAGACAGGGTCTCACTGTGTAGTTCAGGCTGGTCTTGAATTTGTGGCAATCATCCTGCCTCAGTTTCCTGATTTCTGGGATTACAGGTGTGTGCCACCACATCATCTATTTTTTTTTACATTTTGAGAATTTG